AGCTTTGCCTCCATGCTCCTTCCCTCCTAGATGGAGGAGGAGGAGGAAGGAAGTGAATTCATGCTTCCAAGTTTTCTCAGCATGAAGAGTAATAGAGGACAGTATTTTCAGCTAGTGGGAGCCGTAATAAATAATGTGCTATTTTCTGTGCTTTTAGTAGTAAATAATCTGCTACACCTCATGCTGAGAAAACTTGAAAACATCAATGCCGTGGACCAAGAGATACGAAATAATGAGAAGTTCCTAAAGGGTATTCTGTTAAATGGAGGGAAAACTCTGCTCAAGTTAATTTCACTAGGATTTTTGAACATTTAAGGTCAGCAGCCTTAAATTCCATGAGGGCTTTTTGCACTTTAGCAGCTTTGGTGAGGTCACTTTGGTGTGATGTGGTTATTGAACTGCTTTTGAGACAGAGCGAGAAATAACTGTCTTCTCAGCATAAGGTGGAAAGTGGGGATCTCCTGAGTCCCAAGGTAATAGTGATTCAAACCTCTGAATCTACAATATTACTCATTCAAAAAAAAAAATAGATAGATAGATAGATAGATAGATAGATAGATAGATAGATAGATAGATAAAAAAAACATTTTTCATTGCCAGAGTAAGAAAAATGTTTGCACTTTGTGCTAATATCATAAAGACAGCATACTGAATATTTCAGCTAACCTTCTTAGTGATTCCTAACTGTTATTGTTTTTACATTAGGCAATTTTCTGTCAAATTGCATGAATAATATTGTTGGTAATATTAGCTAGGCAGAGACAGCTCCCCCTCGTTTCAGAAATAAGTATAATTTGGCATTTAAATGACAGAGTGGTTCAGACATTAATAGAAATGGAAACTGTCTCTAGTGAATATCAAAACAACATTGTAATATGAAATACAGCAACCTTATCCAAGTTGGTGGCATTACAGCTTGATCCCATATGTGTTTGCTAAGAATGCATTCAGTAGGGTTTACTCCCAAGTAAATGTACCAAAGATTCCCATTCCACTAGGAGAAAACCACTGGATTGAGATTTACTTCTAAATAGACTTGCTTAGAATCATGCAGCACAGTTGCCATCTTAGTCATTCTTTCCTGAGAGTAACACCAGCAATTTGCTTCCAAGTAGACCTGCTTATTCAGGCTGCAATCCTATGCCTATTTACCTGAATGGCAGGTAAGAAGTTCGACTTCCTTCTAACTTGTGTAGGAATGGGTCTGTAGGAAAACTTGGGAGTCAACATTCAGTGCAGATGAACTATTGGCACTTGAAAAAGTGACAAAGTCATATCTGAGTTTTTTTGCAGATGTCTTTATATATTTGATGTGACTAAATTGATGTGATGTTATAGATTAATAAAAGTCCCTACAGGATAAAATGCTAGTCACCCCACCCCCAGATGCTGGACGACTGAAACTCACTTTCGGTCAAGTCGCTAAGTACATGTGTGTGCTGAAGAATCAGGGCAGCTTAGGAAATGTAGTTGTGTTTTTTCTTTTAGCTGCTGCCTGACATTCAGCAATATTCATCTGATGAAGTGAGATCCCATTCACAAGTTTGTGCCGTGACAGATTTGCTGTTGTTCCTGCAATGGACTTCACACAGCCATCCCTCTGGAAATTGATTTCTGAGCAAGTTAATCATGTACTTACTTTCCTGCTGGAGTAAATGGCTAGATCAAGCCCTCAATTTCTAATTGGATGCAGGCCAAATTTCTTCCCAAATTGGGAAATAGAAAGCCAAAGTCATACTTAAAATATAAAAAGAATGGCATGAAATGGATTTACCACCTTTTCATTTGAGGAAGTGTTTGTATGAAGGCATCCTTTAAATGAAAATCTCAAAGTATTTCCATGCTGGAGAAAACATGGCATGGTTTCTGATATTTATTCATTTACTTATTTATTTATTTATTATTTGATTTTTAACCTGCCTTATTAGCCACGAAGCTCCCTGTGTGTGTTACAAACAAGAAAAGGATGTTAAAAACAATATAAAACACTAAAAACCCAATAAGAGACATTTGAATCCCAACTGAAATGGATCAAGATGGTCCATTTCATCCAAGAGAGCCTGGAGCTGGCCAGCCGCCACCTAAACACCTTGCCCAAGGGGATATTAACACCTGTTCTATAGTTGCCAATGTTCCCCAGGTACAAGCCGCCCTTCTGCAAGAGTGGGCTACTTACAGACTCTTTTATGGGTCAGGGACCTCTCTCTCTCTTAAGGAGGTGCTCGCAGCTTCCAGGACCCACCAGGATGCCCCTCCTCCTTGCCAAGATGGGCAAAGGGCGAGACTACAGGGATTGGGCCAGACCAGTCCAAGCACCCGTCCTCCTGCTTAGACCGCAACCAAAGAAACCCATTCAATGACCTCAGACTAGGTGGTACACTGGACCTCTCAGCCAAAGGAACTGCATTAACCATGCAGTCCGAATATCCGTATTATCATGAGCTGGCTATTTTAATGCAAACATATCAGTATGGTCAGAAACAGATTCTACCACCTCTATTACAAAAAGGGATGGAGAAGGTGAAGCAACAAGTTGCAGATTCACAAGTACAGTATTTATAATTGTGATAAACTCCATAGTTAGTTCAGTGTGTTTATTTCAGCAGGTATGTACCATCTGAAGATACTGAGGGCAGATAACGCCGCATAGACATAAGGTAAGAACATAATATAGTTACCTTCTTGGTCACAGGGTACGTAAGATACAGCTGCTATAACTGGGAAGTAACTCTATATTAGGTCTTAATGATCTTTTATCAGTTAGTCAAACCCAATTTTAAAACTCATGCCTGAATTTTAATTTTAGCAGAGAGGCATGAAACAGCATTTTACCAACAGCACCTGCTTTCTCTTGGTTCTGATACACATTTAACATGCTCAAAGAAGTTCCTTGAGTAGAGGGAGCCTTTGGGGGCCTTTTTTCCCCCGAAAAGTGAATCACTGTAATATAGAGCAAAATTAATGCCAAAGGCACAGGCTTTATTACAGGATACACAGGCCAAAAATGTTTCTCTAGCAAGCCCTGCTTTATAGCAGACCAGAAATTTGGATCTCCTGCCCCAGTGTTTTCACATGATTGAACATGCTAAGTGAAGATCACGGTCTAGACTTAAGGCATACTCAGAATAGCACCACTGAAATGTAATTTCAGTTAGTCATGACTAGCTCAATTTCCATGACTACATCTGGACCCAACCTATATATTATCTTTCTACTTCCTTTTATATGAGCTCTTGAGATGCCAAGATGAAGTGTGGGAATCTCCACTTGAAATGGAGGGCAAGGGGGGAGCTGGGCAACTAAAAGTGGTGACAATAATTAAGAGACATAGATGAATTTGTAAAAATGCAGCCCAATTAAATGAAAAAGAGTATGCCAATTCTTTTATCAACACAGGAAAAAACCCCAATAAAATATGGTTAATGTATCTATTGTATAAGGTGAAAGTACACATAACTGTAAATGAAATAGGCAGAATTTCTGAGCAACTAAATTTTTATTTGATCACAAACATGTTACTTAAATATACAAGAACCATCCAAAATGGATCAGGAGTCAATTAATACAGTTCACAGTATAACGTGTACAGTTGCCAGGGTCATCACATACAAAATGGCATCTAGTGCTGATTTGTACATATATAAACAGTTATGTTTATATTAAGAGCATACCCTATAAATGACAATCCACAGAGGCTTTTAAAAGCAAAGGTAACATTTTGGGTGTCAGAGGCATTTCAAAAGTGCACAAGCTTTTGACTTCTCCAGAAACATAAACTGGGTCTTGTTCCTGGTGTTATCTGTATATTTCATATAAATTGAGCTTCACATTCATATAACACGTTGAAATTACTAGCATTGAACAGTTTTGGCTGAAGCATCACTGGAAATCGTACATCTGCTAGATCACATAAAATACTTTTTATTGTTGGAACTGATGTACAAAACTAAATGATAAAAGATTGAATTTCATGTCTCAAAAGGGGGTTAAAGAATTGTGGTTTCTTTAAGAATGCTTTTTTCTCATAACTGTTACCAATTTACTAATATTGAATAAGGTTCCATGTAGCACCTGCCACTGCTGTTTCGCACAAACTTGCCCACCTTACCCCAGGAACAGAAAAACAGCTCAAAATAGGTTACCTTTGTCATCTACCATTTCTTGAAACACCACCATTATGGTGGAGTCACATGATATCTAAAAAAGAACATTTGGTCACATGATGCTTATGAATTAATTAACCAACAATTGTTGGTTCAATCTAGTAACCATTTACCTATTTTAAAAATACACAAAGCAGTAAACAAACATTCAAAACACACAATAGAAAAACAATACAAAAGCATATTCAAAATTCTAAGAAAGTACATGTCATTTATATTACTGTACAGTTTCTTCTCATTGTCTGCAGAACATGACAAAACACTTCTGTGTTCATCTTCTACGGAAAACATTAATTTGATGAATACAATTTGTTTTTTCAAGCACGCATAACAAAATACAGTAGGTGTTATTTTAAAGTCTTTACGTGTATCTTTTAAAAGCTCTACCCATAGTGGCAACAACTAAGGGAACCAAAAGCCTAAAAGCTTTGGGTCCATGCAGCCTCCCATCATCAATACACTCATTACTGGATTCGTGGAAGACGAGGAGAAGCACAGCTTCAGCACCAAGTACAGCAAAAGGTCTCCCTTTTACTTCACCAAACAGCAACTACTAATAGAACTGGCCTCCTATTAGATTTGCTCCTTCGGTGCAGGACACACATTCCCACGTAACAGGTGGAAGCCATTTCCCCCACCTCAGTTCTCATTAGGTCGTGCTGGCTGTCAATAGCAGTCTACAGTTTTGGATGGACATTTCATACACAATACAGTTTTCTTGTACAGAAAGATTCCATGACAAATATTACATCTGTATCCCTCATAACATTATTTCTATCAAAACATAAGATTATGGTCCCACGTCAATTACATTATAACCTATAAGCTTTCGTGTACCTTCATCAATGGGTTCATATTTATTAATGAGAAAAACAGCTCTTCCTTCAGTAGCATCAAGTTCAAACTGCTCCTTTTTAAGAAACTCAGTTAGATTTGCTGGTGTTAGAACTTTTTTGCTTGCTGAGTAGCTACTGAAGAGTTCGTTCAGCTCAGGTCTGTGCAGAAGTGTTCGATAAATTGCCCTAAAATCTTCCATGGTGATAACGCCAGTCTTCTGTTTGTCATTTTTCTAAAAAAAAAAAAAGCATCTCGTGTAAATAAAACTTACATGACAGTATGGATGAAAGGATGAACATGAAAACATAGTTCCTAGAAAACCTGCCTTTCATCAGGGTAAACAATGCAAGCCCTGATGATGGTGAAGGCTTAAAAACTTAAAAATGTGATAAATCAGTCCTGCTCACAGCACTAGAACAGGAGCTGACACATTGGAATACAAGTCCCAACTTGAACGGCTGCCTGGAGGTGATCCTGACTGAGGAGAAAGCAAAGAAGCACAAGTCTTCACATTCAGGCTTGCCTGTCTCCCCCATACCAATTAGTGGCTTCAATACTGTAATTAATGGAAGACGTGGGGGGGGGGGGTTCCAGTCAAATCACCCTCTTCAAGAATGTCTGGGCTGTGATGGAGACCCATGTCGGAGCACCTGGCATCTGACCAAGCCTTTCCCCTCTCTAGCAGTGCCAGGGTTCCGCATGAGTATGGAAGTATTCATCTATTTGAGAGAAAACACCTCCACTTCCAAGACCATTAGGGGCACTTCTAGGGCCATCTGGGGATTGGGGGTGCTTCCCAGACCATGGCTGGAAGTATAATGCTGTTTAGGGCACAATCCTATGGGGATGCCTGTAAGCTCCCAAATGCACGAGATGCATGCAATGCGATGCATTCATTGCCGATGTGGTGGGAGCTATGACTGCCTCCCCACTCGTCCCGCTTCGCATCTTGACCTGATGGCCAGCTGCTCCGTTTGATGGGCTGACCTGAAGGAGAAGCGAGGGAAGCGAGGGAAGGAAGGAGGCTGGAACGGCTTCAGGCCACCTTGTGTCCCAGCAGCTCGTCTCCGTGCCTTCCCACCCTGCCTCCTTTTATACCGCTCCAAAGTCATTTTCCCAATCACAAAGAGAGGCCAGTGCAGGTATTTCCATGCAAGATGTTGGGCAGCGGCCCGGGGGGGGGGGGAGGAATTAGAGTTGGGAATCCAAATTATCCCATGCAACCCAATGTTTAAAGGCAATAGGATCATCCTCTAAGAAATTTAGGTGAGACAGAAGTTAGCAACCGATCCTCAGCTATCATGAATTGATTTCTGAAATGGAAATACTATCCAGGAAGAAAAGTCAAAGTCATGGATAAAAGATAGATCCTTACAGTTGAACAGGGCAACTAGCTTTAGAGGTCTACTGTAGATTAAAACCTTTAATCTAGAGGTCCTAGTCATAAGACATGCAACATATTTACTTTGAGCATAACAGCCCACTGATCATAAATGTTGCTGCATAGTTTAAAGGAAGTTGAGCAAATTTTCTCACCTTGAACACTTTTTTCACATGAACATAGTCGTAGGAGACTTCAAACTTATTAAGCAGTTTCAAGACCTGATCTATATTGATCTTGCCATTCCTAAACTCATCAAAGATAACATCCATGAACCATGTGGAGAAACGCAAATTAAGGAAAATTTTGACGAATACTGGCAGCTTATGATTCAGAAAGCATTTGACACAAGAGACAAACTCCTGAACAAAGAAACAATCATAAATGTGTCGGCATGAAACAAGTACTGACAAACATGCGACCCTGTGTTAGATTCTTTTGGCCCAATCTGCTCCCCATTTGTTAAGCAGGTGTAGAGGCGATTGCATAGATTCAAATATTTCATTTAAACAGGGGCAGACCTGGCTCTGAACAGTTCTGTAATAGTGGATAACGTTTCCCTTGTTACAGAGAAATGGAGGACTCCATGGAGCCAACTCCTGGGGTTGAGTCCTGGACTGGGACTAGGAGATCCAGGGTCTAGTTGCCACACATCCATGAAGTGCACAGGGTGACTTTGAGCCAGGCACTCCCCCTCAGGGTCACTGCCTTTCAAGCCTAACCTACATACAGGGCTGTTCTTGTGAGGACAGGAATGGACAGTAGAACGTTGTAAACAGCACTGGGCTCCTTACCAGAGGAAGACAAGTGGGATATAAATGCAATGTAATAATGATCCCATTCATATGGTCATATGTATAATTATTTTAATTTTGGTATGTCTTATGGTTTTGTTTCTTAATATTTGTTTTTATTTGTATTTTAAATATATCTATATTTCACACTGCAAGCTGTTCCGAGAGCCTTTGGCTACAGGGTGGCATACAAATGCAATAGATAAATAGATAATCATGATCTTCAGTGTTAGGATACTTCTCTAAGTCTGGGGCTTTCTTGAGAAGTTTCCTCTATCTGAGATGATCGGGGATAAAGGCAGCCTTCGTACCACGCACATTTGGGCGGCCGAAGGAGTGCCTATGAGGGTCAGGGAGGAAATCTCGAACAGGAGACCGAGGGCACAATCCAATGTGCAGTTGACAAGGCTTTTTTCCGCCTAAGCCTTCCTGCAGGGAGTCTCCCACTCTTCAAGTTCTCGATTGGGGGGCGGCGGGGGGCTGCACCGCCTCCTTCCAGCCTTGCTAGAGAATGCTCGTTTTTCTCGCATGCAGGTACGGACAGATTTCGAGGGCGCGTCCAGAAACGCCGCCTGTGCCACGGCACACGAGTACTATTCTGTCTGCGCGCCTTGATTTGGGTTCTCTTTGGAGGGGCGTCTGGAGGGAGGGAGGGGGCGTGAAGGAAGCCCCTGGTGGAGGCCCGAGCAGATCCCCTTCCCGGGGGGCTTCACCCCCTCCTAAGACGAGGGGCAATTCCTCCGAGGGTGGGGGCAGGGGCAGGGGCAGGGCCAAGCCCCCCCCCCGCCGCCCTCCTGCAGAAAGGATATGTATTCTCCATGATGCCGCTGTCGCCTGCTCACAGCATGGCCCGCGCGCCTGTTCCTTACTGCGATGGTGTCAGCAGCTCCCAGCGCGGCGGAGGCCACCCCAGGCCCGCCCTGTCCCGCGGCTCCCGCTCCCGCTCCCGCTCCCCCCCGACGCAGCCGCTCTCGCCGGTGTCCCGAGACCTAAGGGCTGGGGGGACGGCGCGCGGGCCCGCGGCGGCGGCGGCGGGCGCGCGCGGGGCTTCCCCGCGTCACAATCGCCCCCCGCGGGACCCGCAGCCTCCCTCTAGGCTCGACCCCGCGGGGGAAGCCCCGCCTCTTTGGCCAGCCCCTCCGCCAAGATGACGCGGGGAAGTCCCCAAAGCCCATCTCCAGATGACAGGGGAAGGCAGCAGCCTCGCCTGGTGTCCATCTTCAGCTCCTAGAGGAGGTTCCCTTTAGTTACGTCTAACAGCCAGTGGTAAAGCAGTCCTCCACCAATTTGTTTAAACTTCTTTTAAAACCATAAAAGGCTAACAGTCATAGCCACATCTTGCAGCACTAAATCCCATGAGTGAATTATATGAAGAAATGCTTATTTTTTTCTGTCTTATATCTATATCAATCAAGTTCACAGAGTGAGTACAAATGCTATTCACTGGAATCTAGGGTTATGAGCAGGAACTAGAATCTGTTCCCCAAAGTCCTGATTGGCACTGATGCCAATGAAAGATTTCTTTATTTGCCCATTTGCCATACAGGAGGTGTTTTTCAACGGGAATTTCAGCTGGGGAAGGAAGGGTTAACCCTCCCCTTTTTTTCGCTCCAGAACACCCTCCCCTACCACCGTGGCAATTAACCTTAGGAAAAAACTTACTTTTGTGTTAATGGAATTTTTTCTTCTAAACTGAACTGCATAAAACAGCAGCAATTTTCTTCTATGAGTGAAGAAGGCGAGAGAAGAAAAGTGCAGGGAAAGATTACAAATAAATTGTAATTGAAGAACTACTGATTTGGGGCAATCTGGAGACAGGTGCAAATTTATTGAATAATTTACTTAATTGGAAGTTATCTGGATTTTTAATTAATTAAATGGCTGGGTCTGCCTTCTGTGAAATGTAAATATAGCCTAGCAATTATTATTAAACTTGACTTATATAGTTACAAACTAGATGTTATATAGACCTATGAACTAGACCCCCCCAAATCTTTTAAGTGCCTAGTAATGCTTCTGGTTATAAGGGCAATCCACTCTCTTCAGACCTGACATAATTTAATAAGCCCTGTATCATGTTTCACCTCTGTTGTCTTTTCTCAAACTAAAAAGCCCCAAATGATAAATTGGTGTCTGCTGACATGCATTTTATAATGCTGATGATAGTCTGTTTTTTCCTGCTGCTGTTTATTTGTATTATGGTTTAGGATTGTTTTCAGCTTGCTGTCTCATATTTTTTAGAACAGTCTTAAATATGATTTATCATACAAAAGTGTGGCATAAATTCCTCAGTAACTTAATAAAGAAGGTACTTCAATCCTTTTGCAATTTTGACCATCCTTTTCATGTCTTTTGCAATATCAGGATTTTGGAATTTAAAAAGTCAGAAAAATGTGCAGCAAGCTGCAAGAATTGCTGATCGTGCCTGTTGAAGTGTAAGAACATTACATTTATCAAACCCAGATAAACTGATGGTAATGACCATCGTTATTACTCAGGTACACTAACTACTTTACCACTTTAATTGCATTTGCTCTCATAACTGCCCTATGATCATTGTAGCCATCTTAAGGTAGGGCTTCTATAAAGTTGCTTGCTCAAGACAATACAGTTTTCATAGCTAAACTGGGATCTGAACTCAGCTGTAAGGAGAATGTTCTGCTAATAGACCACAGAAACTTGGCTGTCATGTTCACATGGCTGTTTTATGTGACTACAGACCATGCTACAGACCATGGTGTTGCTTCTCCCTGTGACCTCTGTGTTGCCGACATCACAATAGAAGGCACCAGATTTTCACTTCAGAGGCAGGCTCAGCTGACAAGCTACATGGAAGATCCAGACCAGGGGAAAAAGTAATGTTAACAAATACCACCATCCCCAAGTGCTTACTATTTAGTCTCCTGCCCGAGTGGAGTGTCCATGCTGCTAATGCTACCCTGAATTCCCTAATACAAGGGTAGGCAGAAGGTACACCGGGGTCCAGAAATCAACCATTGGCCTGTTCCAATGAACCTCCCAGCACTAGTGGCTGATTGGATTCCTTCAAAGAGTGCTGGACTAATTTCAGTTGAACAAGTGGAACCTGAAACAAAACGGGGTGTTCCTTTTCGGTGTTCCAGCCAATCAGCCAGGCCTTCTTTCAGGATAATGCCCCCCCTTCACCATATTTCAGCTTCTTTTTTCTGACTGATAGTCAACATTCCACAGTTACTAAGAATGGCCAGACTTCAGTGGGTTGAACATGTGCAGAGGAGGTGCTCCTCAGGATCCCTCCCCAAAGACTTGTCTTGTACTGCTAGAACACTTGGGGTTACACCAGGCCTACTGATACTTCTCCTTTATTTCTCAGTAGCCCTGGTTTGGCTATATAACACTCCTAATTCAGCACCCACATTCACTAATATTGGTAAGGCGCTTTCTATGTTCTGAAGAAGGAATATATACTAAGGATCCCTTAGTAGGTATGGCATAATTGATCTCTTCAAAAGAACTGGCACATTAATATGCAAAGAAAACAACTTCCTGTTCAAAAAATGGTCAGCCTGCTGCTTCCTCAGGAATAATACTTTCAGTCTGTAATCCAACCTGATGCTCTGGCATCATCTCTAATCCAACTTCCAAGACATGTTTAGATGTTTAGGGCTGCATAACTTCCCAGTGGCTTACCTTGGGGGCAACAGTCTTTGGGAAAAGATTTCCAGGCTGGACAAGTACCTGAAGAGTCAAATTATGACAATGAGCAGGTGTAACAGCTGCTTCTGAGCCACCTGCTTTGGAACTGATTTTGAGTGTAGTGCAGCATACCTGCATAGCTGGAAACAGACACTCTGAGCATGTGATTAATCTGATGTTTATGAGACCTCACACTGGGATGGTGCCCATATATGTTGTGGCCACATGCATCGCTCAGAGTGTAACTGTTGAAGGACTCCTGTCTATGGGAGCTAAAGGTAGGACGAGGGAGACAGTGAAGTGGTGCTACAGCACAGCAACATGTGCCCAGGGACGGCTTGCGAGTCAACTGGAAAAATGGGATTGCAATTGGTACAGTAGGATGGAACCGCCCCGCTTTCTTTCCGTAAGTGGTATTTTTAGGAACAGGTTGGCAGGTTAAAAAATTACTATTCAGCATCAAGTCAAATACGCTTGAATATAAGCAAAGGGTAATCCCTTTGTTCATGCTTGCATGCTTTATTGTTTTCATTGCTGTATTGAAATCTCTTTAATATGCAAGAAAATTGTTATCTAGTGATGTGTTTACAAAGGACGAATTAAGGTTGCACTCCTCTGCATATTTACTTGGGAATAATTGCCTCCTAGTTTCTGAGTGGAACTTAGTTCTGAATAAACAAAGAAGGGCAGGGCTTGCCCTCAGGCATTTTATGCAGCACCTGAATTATGGGTCATTGCAGGTTTTGTGTATTTATTCAATCGTGCTCTCACTTTTCAACGCACTGGCACTTGGATCCATCTTCTAACTGCTGGCATGATCATACTTGTACTGTTAAGAATAAACTGTGTTGATTTTCGCAGGCATTAAGCCAAAGCCTTACATTAGTTCAGATGAGTTCTAGAAAGTTCTAGGTTAGAGACGGGAAAGTAAGTGTAGCTGGGGAAGGTGACTTGCCACCGCCTCCCCGCAGGCCCTCTGGAGGTGGTAGGGTGAGCGCAGCAGCCATGTCACTGACATCACAACCTGCTCCACCCATTTTGCCTTTGTGTTAGGAGAGGCACAGAGTTTCATGCCTCAGCACAGAGAAAGGGACTCAGCCAGTGAAGGGAGGAGCAACCACTCCTCGCGTCAGCCAAGTCTGTACGTGCACACAGCAAATGAACTCAGTCGGCACTGAGGAGAGTCCCTGGCTTTGTGTGGCATGTGTTGTCGACACGTGAGATGAGAGATAGGAGAGGAGGTTTCTCCCAAGGGGATTCTTCCACGGAACAAGCCTTGGAGGTCGAGCCCTGCCTTCTGAGAGAATCCAAGGAGGCTCTGCAGCTGGCTGAAGTACCGCCACAGACCAAGTTGGCTTGGAAGGTCCCCTCCCATGTTGTTGATTAATCTTTGAAGATAAAAGCTGGAACATTTTAAAAAATGTTGGTGCTGATCTCACAGTTACATCAACAATCACTGTAGCACTTTTTTTTACCCCTAAGAAGCCACACATTAATTTCCTTACACTTTGAGAAGAAATATTTAGTGCTTTTTTGTGTGCTTCCCCCTACCAATGTTCATTCCATCTTTAGCTCCATCCTTCAGAAGACAGTACATGATGAGTGAAGAATTGTCTACTGCAAAGAAAATAGAATGCATCTGCAGTATGCTACGTCAGGCCCCGCCAGGTGAATTCAGGAATGTTTTTGAAGATCTCTGCCTTCTGGTTTGTGATGAGCATCTCATGAGGTTTGAAGCTGCTCAAGTATGTGCTAATCATACCAGGAACAACTTCACAGCTGTGAAGGTAAGAGGGGACTACACTCTAGTGAGTCGCTTCAATGATCTTGGAGGAAATCGCTTCTTTGATCCACAGATCAAACTTTCTTTCAGGTTTGACCACCTGACTGCAAGAGTGGATAAAGTTCTGCTTTATAAGTGTATCAGAAAAGATAATGTAGAGTTATGGAGAGAAACCCTTAATGTGACTTTAGAGTCCTACATGAAGAGACATTTCTACTCAGGAGGCTGTAGGGTCTATCGAAAAACTCTCAGAAGCAGCCCATTCTTGGTGGTCTGTATTGAAAGCCACCAGTATGAGAAGTTCTGGAATGGGCTTTGGAAATCAGAATGGATTATTGCTTTCACTCCACCTACTACACAGATCACAGGGAAGATTAACCTACAAATACACTATTTTGAAAAAGCTAACCTCCACTGGACAGTGAGCAAAGTTGTCAAGGATTCCATTCACTTAATTAACCGCACTCAGTTCGTCTTAGATTTAGCAAAATTAATTGAAGCTGAAGATGACAAATTTCAGATTGGTATAATGGAAAGCCTTCAAGTCTTGTCGGCTAACATTTGGAGAACACTACGTAGGCATCTCCCAATTACTCGTACTGCAATCCACTGGGAAAAATTGCTGTCTATTTAGAGGTGAAATCATCTGGAAGTAATATACTGTTAAATTTGCTGAAGTGCCCTGTGTGAATGAAATATCAGACAAATAAAATTGCAATCACTGAATACATTCACACTGATTCCCTTGATTTATTGCTTGTTTATTGCTCCATAGGAAAATGGAGTCCTTCAGCACAATGAATCGTATCCAGGTCAGTAGTACCTTGGCTGAAGTATAGTTCATTCTTTGCATGGAGAACAAAGAATGAAGTTGTAAAATGAAGTAACTTCTTCCTTTTGTGCAGCAACAAACAGAAGGGTTCTACATTTATGCCACAACCAAATGAATGACTATCATCATCAACAGATTCAATATAATTTATCTGTAAATAACACTTTTCAAGGGACTATAGGCTTTTCTTCACGAAATTTTAAAGCAACTACACACAGAGCAACTTTTCTTTTTGGCTCTCAGACTTCCCAATGGTCTGCCACTCACAGGTCATTGGTAATCCTGGGAGGGTTCCACCTTCTCCTGTTGCATATTGTGCTCTATTGAGCCAACTGCTTAATCTCTGGAGCTGATGTTTATGATATTTTTATTTAGCTTTTACTTTTATCGTATAGGACTGGAGGGATGAAAGAAGCTAGCAGGCTGAGGGTGTGATTCATAAATATAGTTTGCAAACATCAGCAAATACCGCTTCTACATCACTAACAGATGTGTATGCCCATGTGTGTCCATGTGCCTGCCTGCCTGCCCATCAGCACCAAACGGCCATGACTATGAAACCTGGATGCCTGAAACAAGGTCATCCTAGGACTGTGCATCTTTACATTACTGAATTTAAAGTTGTGCCACTGTGTCCAAGTGGCTGAAGCCTTAAGAAATGCCCACAGCAATGAGGAATGAGCTTCCCTAAGGAGTACATGGCAGTTTGAAGGGAGATGAGTAAGCCAAGGAGCAGTGTTATAGACTTGACCCCTCATTCTGAGAAATGGGGTGGGCAGCTCCCCTAGGGTACAACCGTGGTACGCCATGACAGGGCTGGTGCCTGTGGGTGCCAGCAGACACAGGGCTACTTGAACGGGCTGGGCATGATGTGTCCAACTCTGGCAGCTGCATAAATTTGCCCAAACACATCACTTTATGAAAATAAGGACTATTGCAGCCTATGTGGAACCAGGTCTCTTCACTAAATCATTAAAATTAAAGAGACACAAGAGTTTCCCTTCAAAGTAAGTCACACACACACAAATATTCTGTGATTATAAGCCTCAAATGTCTGCTGCTAATAAAAATGACACCTGTTGAGCTGATAACTTGAATAGCATCCATAATTGACCTGATGAGGTCTATGATTATGCAAAATGTCAAACTGATCCAAAACAAATTGCGACAGGTACAGCAAGTTTAAAATGTGCTGAAAATTGGCACATTTGTACTTCTTAATCCAAAGGGCATCTCAGTGTATCATGTATTTCAGATTCTGGCAAAACGATTGATGTACATTCGGCATTGTTGAGCCGTGCCTTTCATTGCTTGGTGAAATTTGGAGCGCTGGCTCAGAGGTGGTTTTTTCTGCACTGCAAATGCCAGTGACAGTCACTGCCAGATATGCTCAGTTCACTCTGAAGCTAGAATGCTGACAATATCCCTAAATCTTCCAGAGGAATTCTGTTACAGGGGGCATCTAATGTGCCACCCCCACACCCGTTCCACATTGTGGAATGTGATCTCACATGTGGAACTACATGTTACTGCAAGGATTGGTGCACAGGCATGGGTGAATAGGGAGAATTTAATCCTCTGCCTTTCCTTGCCATGGTACCAATCTGGATCAGGCCCCTCATGTATCCAATTTGCAATGCTAAAAACAGTATTCATTTCTAGAATAATTTTAATTTAATTTAAACATTTCTATGTTGTCCTTTGCAAAAAGCCTCAGGACAGCTTACAGAATATAAAAATAACAATATAAATAACAATATATTATAAATATCATCAAAACATTCAACAATAAGGCAAAATAAGCAGCAATATATCTTTCCATAACTAAAGAAGAAGAAAGAACATACATTGAAGGTGTGTGGCACCCAGCACTCTTGGTCCCGTTCCATGTGAGGTCCAATAAACATTCTTTTGAGTAAAAAGAAGAACCCCTTTAGCTACAGCTTTAAAGTAACATGCAATTTGTCCCCGAGAGAGGTCAGGAGAAGCAGGAATGGACAGGTAGCAGAGGAGAACAGAGGAGTTGTGGCCTCACTCCACCTTTCTGCAAACAAATGCAGAATGAAAACTGAATCCTTGCTCTTTGCTTCTGTGTGGTGGAGAGAGGACAGGCAAGGATTGTTCCACTAGGGGAATATCCAGGTGATGATGAATGTAGGTGCATGGAGGGTGGACAGGTAAAACCTATGATAGGGCACATCATCGCCACAGGACACATCAGTTAAGCATGGAAATTAGCTTCCTGCGAGTGGGTTTCATGGAACTTGAGCCCACATGTCTTAACCTTGGTCTAAAACCAGCAGGTGTTTGTTTGTTTTAATTACTGAATAATAATGTGTGTGATTTTAAAACTAAGTGGTTCCATCACATTAATTCAGGTGGAGATGGAGCCTTTTGGCTCTTCATATTTGGAGGCATTATCTCCTGTTGCTTCCAAACTGCTTTGAAATATATTTCTTTAATTCTGAACTGGAATTAATCTAGGAAATTAATCCAGAACATCTCAGACCTTGTGAGGGGAACTGCTTAAGTTAAGCAAAGTATTCAAACCTCCATAATGACAGTAAAGCTAATGAGATACATAAACTTTGCTACAAAACAATCATAACCTTTGCATGGTTAGCTGAGAACCTTGGTTTTTTTTTTCTTTTCTTTATTGAAGAAGCAGCCCCTTTTAAGATTGATTAATTTACATAACTTATCTCTTACACCTTCAAAAGAAATTCCCAGGATGAGTAACAGAAGAAGGTGAAGGAGTTGTTAAAATTAGAACATAATAAGAGCACACTAACAGAAAATATAAAAATCTGAACATACTAAAATTAGGATGTAATAAGAGCAACAGTCCATTCAAATTGACAGTAAAATCAAAATGGATCCAGGTTGAAAAATGATAATATTAACAGATCTTTTAAGCTTGCAGAAAGAAATGTTTTTGCTTGAAACCTTGATGATAGTAAGGAAAGACAGCACAAGCTGAGACAGACAGATTCCAATTTTAGTGGGACAGTGTATCCACTGTGGATTGTAGTCTGAGCTATCCATTGTGCTGAAGTAATTTGGGAACTAGAGGAATGGATTCCAAAATAGACAGCTCTGGCAACATTCAGGCTAAAAACTGGGTGGATACACCACCCCACTGACACTGGCACTATCCGTCTTCACTGATAAGATTCCAAGGTAAGCTTCCCTAGCATGAAGCCACACTAAAAAGGCTTTCTCTCTAGTCAACACCCTCAGCAGTTCAGAGGACAAGAACACCCAGAGAAAGGCCTCAGCTGACGATAGAATGACCGTATGTCCTCTTTTACATAGAACAGTTATCTACTTCAAGGGCTGGCAGAAGGCCTCTGTTTTGAAACATCCTCTATTTGAAGGACAAGTCCAGTTTCAAAGAATCATCAGAAGGAAAAGCTGGGCCTTGAAGTTGTCTATCAATGGAACTGGCCTGACCAGCAGCCAGAAGAAGACTCACAGATCACTTGATCAGTCTTTCAGGCCATGTTGAGATGTAGGCTAGGTCCAAACAACAGGATAACCCACACTCAAGGATAAAGTATGGGTTGAATGTGGGTTGCCACTGAACAGTGGCTTGTTGTTGAAACATGTACTAGGAGCTGTGCTAACAAAGCATGGGTTAGCAAACCATGGTTTATTAGAGAAGACGGGTTCAAACAATATAATCACATTTTAGTAACAATCCACAGTTGAACAACAATTCATATTCAGCCTCTTGGGGGGTGTTCTGATGTTGTCTAAAGCATACTATATTTCTTTTTAAATTATAATAATTACTTCTCAATTTGCATCTATAAATATATATTTGCTTGAGCCATTTGCATGCAAATCAGTGCCCTCTTTTTGATAATGCATTTCTCCTTCGTTGGTGATACCTAAATGACCACCCTAGCTGGCAGTTTCAGCTGGCAGTCCAAGAGGAATTTGGGTCCTAAACTGTGGAGTTAAGTCCCACATTTTGAATAAAGCTTCTCACTTTCTCCTTCTCTTTTTCACCACACTTGGTCTCATTAAGCACATCTCTCAACAGGCTGATGTGTAGGTAAATGGGGGTGATATAGGCCCAGGTTTCAATGACTTATAGACCTGTCTGTGGGCTGTACCACTCTGGACAAGTACACAAAAGCCCACGACTAAAAACCCCTCTGCAAAGAAAACTAGGCATCAGTGGGAAAGGTTCTAGCTTAGCCATTTCTCCCCAGCATGCTTATTTGTAACGCATGGAGATTTATTCATTTTTTTTCCTAAGGAGGAGAATTTGAACTTCAGCTTGCCATCTTATCTGATACAGTTCTGACACAGCTTTGCCACCTCAGTGAAAACTGGACCATTGTCACTTAGTATTCAAATTTGCTTTACAGCTTGTCATCAAAGGCACACAAACATTAGTGGGAACCACGAAAAGTGTCCAGTTAGCTGAAGAAAAGTGATACCCATAGGAGGACACTGTAATATGAACATGGTCTTAGACAAATGAATTATTTATTCATTAAGATTCCTTTCCCTCTTTCTCCACCGGCACTTTTGCTATGTTAGCTGAAGTGTTTGCCTTGGAGAATACGTGCACAAGGGAAGATGCTAACTGCACAGAACTGGCCGCTAACCACAAGGATATTATAATGAGCCGCTCATGCGCCATTGTCATTTACTTATCTTCATGGAATTACTACTCACTATTTGTAAATGGTTCCCCATTAGCATAAACATTTAAAAGACATGTGTACATATTTTGCAGCATGCAGTTTCAAACGTGGCAACATTTCTTGTGCACTAAGCAGTATTTCTGTTTCTGCAGAGGACTGTTATACCAAGATGGCTAGGGTGAGGGCTCATCTTGAGACTTTAGAGAGCACATCAGACTAAGGATGGAGGTTCATACAGAACATAAGAAAAGCCCACTTGGATCAGAACAGATGTCCATGTAGCCCAGGATTCTGTTCCCGTGAGTGACCAGCCAGCTGCAAGTAGACTATCAAGGCAACTATCTTCAAGGTTTGTCCTCAGCAATTAATGTTCAGAGATTTGCTACATCTGAACATTATGTTTCCATTTAGCTACCATGGCTAATTGCTTTTCATATACCTAAATGCTTTCATGAATAGCTCTGCCCCCTTTTCATGAATATTCCTAATTCCCTTTGCTAGGAAATCAATAGGAAATCCAATAATCAGTTTTCAAATCACAAACCCACAGTGTTTTCTACACTTTGGTTCTTCGTGTGTGTTCTTGGTGTGGTGCCATGCAGATGAAAGGATCTTATCCTGATATGAAGAACTAAAGACAAAACCTGGAACCTAGAAGATTACATGACCTTTCCAACTGTCGCCCAGGACAAAAATATAGACATCCAGTTTAACACACTGATCAAAATGCCAATTTTCCTCATTCCTACTGCCTTCTCTAGGACATAATTCATGGTGCACTGCTTAACGGAAGAACTCCTGTTCTGCATGTCCAGCTGACTGATGTTAAGTAGATGGCTATGAATACACAGTCTTTTCAGAAGTGATGCCAACACTTGTGTAATGCTCTCCCTAGGAAGGCCTGCCTACCCCCACAACAATGAGACCTACTGAGGTGTTAAGCAAAATTTTGGCTCTTCACGAAGGCCTTCAAGACAACTGATTAAAACACACATGACTTTAAAGATGGGGCTGGCAGCTCAGTTTTTCTTCTATCACACACAAGAGCAGTAGGCAACTTCAGTGAGGCAAAATAGGCCACAGTAGTGGGGAGGGAACCACAAAATGTACTCCAGTATCCAAATTATCCACAGAGGCATTTTCCATTCCATGGTCATCTGTTCAACAGCAGACCTCACACCTACAAAGCTTTTGAAATTTTCCTCAGTCTCAGAAGTGGTTTGTCACCTGATACAGAGATGGCTGTTGATAAACATAAATTCAGCACCTCTCAAGTACAAAGGGCAAGTTCTGTACATCTTTGGATCTCAGCCATAAAGCGACATCATAACAATTAATCATGGTCGGTGTATGACATTTTTGCTGCTGATAAAAAGCAGTGACAGAGCCTACAACACAGAGAACTGCTTTTTTTCCCAAGCCAAAAACAGAATAGTTTCAAGACACACAAATCAGACTTAAGGAGCTTATAGCTTAGAAAGCTGTTGGAGTCGAAGGATAATTGTAATGTAGGAAAAGAAACAGAATTCAGATAAAGTAGAATATATACACTGCAGTGCCAAAAATGACTGTCTGCTTCTGCCATTCTAGCCTGTTCTTGGAACAGAGCCACCACATTGCCTGGGGAAATTAAACTCTCCCTGACGAAGAAAGAGAAAAGCTACTTGAGCGAAGACATTAATATGCCTCTACAGTGCTGAAAGAGCCATGAACTATTTACTATAGAAAAAGAGAACCCGCTGTAAGCAAATATGAACTATAAATAGGACATCAGAGCCAAATGAAGTTGAAGCAAATTACTTTTGTCTCTCAAAAAGTATTGAGCCCTGTTGTGTCTCCGAGACTGCAGCAGCCAGTTTTATTGTCTCTGAGTCTATACTCCATGCTTCCCAGGGTGTTTTCTAGTCTACTAATCCAGCAGTCCAGTAGAAGTCATGAATGGAATTGTCTACAATCTATGATCAAGGAATAGTTCCATCACAGCATAAGCACAGTAGGTCCCTGGCACTCATCTTTCGGTTCTTATCAAATGTCATACCCGTGACATTCAATAAATATTGATTTCAGATGCTTTTCAAAGACAACTGTTCTAGTCAACAACGAACTCTCTCTTTGCCTACTAACCAGCACCACCCACCACCATCATCAGTTTCACGTCTATATTGCCTATAGCCAAAGCTCTTTGGATAGTTTACAACTTCTGCTATAAATAAATGTAGACATTTGGTGAATAGTTATTATCTCTGCAATGCAAAACTTCAAATTTCAAACTAGGCAGAAACTGGAATGTATTTGTAAGAAAGATGTTAAATATACGGATTTAAACGACAAAGGCACAATTGCAAAAAATAATCACATTAGATACACCATACCATTTAAGAAGGTGCCTAAAGTGTTAATACATGGGCCTATTCTGGTCTTTGCCTAAAGCACAATTTCTTGTCCTCATTTTGCTTTATTTTATCTAACATCAGCAGAGTTTGCATCTTTCACTAAGAAAAGACATCTGTGCAATGTGTTTAATTCACCCACTGAAGTATTGCAGCAAGCTTTTCTGATATATGCATGAATAATAAAATGAAGTCTATAATCTAAAATAAACTTTAAGATGCAGTCCTACACAGGTTTAGGCAGGTTTTCCGTCTAACCCTGCATGTGATCACATCCTTAATTTATCAACAAACTTTCTCCTTATCTGTATTTACAAAGTAACAAATCGACATGGGCCATAGACAGGCATGTTTGCGCGTAACTCTCCTGAGGACAGTGCCCTGGCTTGCAAAACTTGGAAAGTATTGTGGGCAATCTGTTGTGTCTGGACAAAGAGAATTTTCAAATAGATCTAAATCCTATAATTGGGCAAAAACAGTCATTTATTGCTCCAGTGGGCCAAAATAAATTCAAGAGAGTTATTGCAACTGGGTACAATCATGGTTTTAATCTCTGTGACTGCATCTTTGTTCCAAAATGGAGGCAAGCTACATGCAGTTGAGCATCATGCACAGATTTGTCCTCAGAAATGTGGGTCCAAAACCACTAAGCAACCAGTGCCGGTCCTTACTCACTAGTGAGCTCTAGATAACAACATTTTTCTTTTGGAATTATTATATTGGCTTTGGAAAATATGGGTTCCCTGCAAAGGGCTGCTCCTAACACTCTAAAACTGGTAACCATTCACCTTGGATGGCACTGATATACCCAACATACCAGAAAAAATTTGGAAGGCAAGCTGCACAGGCCCTAAACTACACGCATCTCATCTGAAGAGCTGGCACACTTGTTCTCACATTACAGCTGTAGAATATTTTGCCTATTTCCTTGCCTTCCTCCTCAAAGCAATCTGGAATATCTTAGAAAATATAACAGACTTGAGTCGCTTGAGTCTCTCAATGTTTTTACCTTGTGTACATCATAAAAGGCTTGGATAGCTCTAAACCCAAACCCAAGAACAAAACAAAAAAAGCAAAAACAGAGAGAGAAAGTTTGTCAATATCTATTAGCCATGCAATATATCTCTGAATACTGGGTTGTTGTGGACAAACAGTGGGGATAATTATGGATTCATCTTGATTAGGGCAAGATTAGGTCTCATCCTTGGTAGGTCTCCACCTTCGTGCCCTGCCTGTGAGCCGGAATCTTGGCAAACCTTGTTCTGATCCAGCAAGGCAATTCTTATATAGTTTTTATGCATAATGAATATAATTGACTCACATGAGCAAAATCACTTATATCACTACAAGATTAGTATTATTAAACCATGGTTTCTTTATTGAGGAGCAGGTAGCTGGAGCAGCATTGTTAACAAACATTATTTCGAAAAGTACCAAATGTGTACAAAGAGAGAAGCAGGACGCAGGCTGACACCAAGTTTGGAAAAAAGTGGAACCTGCCGATAACCTGAAAATGTAACAGGAATGAATTGAGTTGTATTACAAAGTGTTTCAAGTAGATGAACAAATATAAACTCAAATCTTGGTGTACTGTCAACCATAATAAACACCAAGAAATGCAACCAGACTAGTCCTGTGCTTGAGTCTCAACATACATCCCTGTTAAAGGGAAGAGAGTGCAACTGGCAAAGCCATTATGGGACATTCCAGACCGGTTTCTCAAAGCACTGGAGACAGAACTGGAAGGCAAAGACCCATCCCAGCTGTACACTTGAGTATGCATTTTTACTTTCACCAGTGTAAGAGTGTGGCTGCCATTCTCTTCTATACCAAAAGCAAAACAGTGCATCTAACTACAAGATAAGGGTGGACAAAATTTCCTCTCATTCTTGCTTCCAGTTTGCCTAGCCTTTACCAGGAATATCACAGGGTGCGGTCAATGAGTCCACACATAATGTCACATCACACCTGTCAGGGATCCTTGTAGTATATGGTGAACTCTTCCAGCCCTACCCATTATAACAATGGGCACATTGCTAGAAATATAGCAGACCCCTAAAGTCTTGAGTTCTACCAAGTTATACTGTACATATTTCGTACCTAGTCAGACACTTGTTAAGAATGACTTACGACACAACCCAGTGCCCCTGGCCCTCAGTGCTTCTATTGACCTACGTTGCCCCATACATGTATTTAGATGTCCATTTTCAGCTGCCTTGATAAAGTGCCAGGGGAGAGGAGGGGGGGACATGGATGTATGGAGACAACCACAGCTTCTTCCTCTCCCCAGCCCCCAACATGCCCCTGTCGGAGAGACAGACACTGCTATTCTTCTCACAGCAGCTGTGAGGAGGGCCGGCTTCAGACATGGCCGTTGGCGGCCCAGCACTGAGATTGCAGGACCTCAGTGCTGGGATTTTGAAGAATCTAATGGCCTCCCACACTATGTTGGGAGGCTGAGCATTGCACCCATATGCATCCAGTATTCTTAAGCACACATTCTTCTGTGTAGTAGTTCCCTCCAAATAAGGCCACACAGAAATTTTTCAAGTTGTGTTCCCTGTTTACAAAGGCTTTGCTATGGATTTTCTAGCAATGTCAATTTCCGGAACAAGAGAAATAAAGAGTAAAACAACATATTCTTGGAAAAGCTGACAGTCTGACCACAAAGCTACAATAATTAACTTAACGGTACAATATACAGAGGCAATCATGAGACATACTGATGAATTTAGAAGAGCTGCAGCTCAGTGCACGAAAAAGTTCCAAGGTTTGGTCCAAGTCGTCTCCATGTATGTTACACTGAAGGCTCAACGCATGCAAACAATGCTCCCTTTTAATTTTGCATAGTGACACAAATGAATACTAAGCATGTAACATAGATAAAATCAGAATACCAGTTAATTTTTAAAAAATAGTTCTCCCACCAGCAATGACAGTGAACACAGAAACACCTATGGTAGCATCCAATTTCCAGTTTAAAGGTATGTTGCTATATAATAATCATGAAGTGAACAATTTATTAATAGGAGTTTGGAAAACTGTGTGTGTGCAGGAAACATATCTAATACCTTTACTCATGCTCAAAAGTGGCAAAGTATATTGACCAAGGAAATCATTGGAAGTGAGAGACTGCTGATCTTCTACCATGAATCGAACTAAGGCAAGCTCTGGAACTTGGACATTAAATGTGAATGTTTCATTCCATCTAGGAGACAAAGCTGAAATAAAAAGTACAATAGCAGATAAGCAACAATCCCCTAAAAGGCTTCACCTTGCCAGCTAGCGTTCATTGGCTATTGAAAACAAGGCCATGATTGGTTCCCATTTTTCCATCTATCCACTGATGAGTCCTACTGATTGCAGGACTGAAATCTGCACACAGTTGCAGGAAAAATGCTAACTAAGCAGGAACTCTCATTATGTAGTTTACATTCCCTATGCATGAATTATTGTTTTGGCCGTGGTGCCATCAACTTGATGGTGTCAAGAATGCTGCCTTTGTTATGTCCTTCCCTTGAAAGTACATGGTCATTTTCAGGAGCAGATCTTAAGGTAATGTGATCTTAGCAGAGTCCATCAGCCTGTTGTACTTCTGCTGAAAATCCACCAGTTTTTGCAGCTGAGCTCTGCAAAAGCTGTTAATGGAAGGAAAAACAGTGATGCCCAAGCATCACCCCAGCGGCTGAGCAACAGATAACAGTGCACATAGGGGCGATGAGCATGCTCAGAAAGGAGTAGGGAGCCAGGCAATGACGTCACAAGCCGCGACTCATAAGCCGCGATACATCTGAATTTTCCCATGGCCGGTCAGTTTGCTGCCAAGGGTAGATAGACAGAAAGATGGATAGATATTCTTAGACTGCCTGTGAGTTGTTTTTTCCAAACAAAAGCCTCAGTATTCAGGTTATCTTGTAGTGCTGGCACCGTGTGATAAATAAGTGAGTTTTGGGTTGAAGTTTGGGCACGCAGTCTCTAAAAGAGTCATCATCACTAAATTAGGGTTAGAAAATCGAGGTGTCCGGGCATGATTTTGATGGTTGGAATGTGTTTAGAATGGGCAGAAATGATGAGCAGTGCAGAAAAAGCTACTCAAGGAAGGCTTTTTCAAAATCGCATTCTTTTCAATGGAAACATAACCCTGGATTAGGGTTAGGGGTGTGCACCAAGGTAGGGTTAGGGTTAGAAAAACGAGGTGTCCTAGCATCATTTTGATGGTTGGAATGTGTTGAGAATGGGCAGAAATGAGGAGCAGTGCAGAAAAAGCTAGTCAAGGAAGGCATTTTCAAAATCGCATTATTTTCAATGGAAACATACCCCTGGATTAGGGTTAGGGATGTGCACCAGGGTAGGGTTAGGGTTAGAAAAAACTAGGTGTCCTAGCATCATTATGAAGGTTGGAATGTGTTTAGAATGGGCAGAAATGATGAGCAGTGCAGAAAAAGCTACTCAAGAAAGGAATTTTCAAAATCTCATTATTTTCAAAGGAACATTACCCCTGGATTAGGGTTAGGGATGTGCACCAAGGTAGGGTTAGGGTTAGAAAAACAAGGTGTCCTAGCATCATTTTGATGGTTGGAATATGTTTAGAATGGGCAGAAATGATGAGCAGTGCAGAAAAAGCTACTCAAGGAAGGCTTTTTCAAAATCGCATTATTTTCAATGGAAACATACCCCTGGATTAGGGTTAGGGGTGTGCACCAAGGTAGGGTTAGGGTTAGAAAAACGAGGTGTCCTAGCATCATTTTGATGGTTGGAATATGTTGAGAATGGGCAGAAATGAGGAACAGTGCAGAAAAAGCTAGTCAAGGCATTTTCAAAATCTCATTATTTTCAATGGAAACATACCCCTGGATTAGGGTTAGGGATGTGCACCAAGGTAGGGTTAGGGTTAGAAAAACTAGGTGTCCTAGCATCATTTTGATGGTTGGAATGTGTTTAGAATGGGCAGAAATTATGAGCAGTGCAGAAACAGCTACTCAAGGAAGTCTTTTTCAAAATCACCCCTTCCAATGGTATTTCACCCCTATACTAGGGTTAGGAGTGTGCACCAGGGTAGGGTTAGGGTTATCAAAACGAGGTGTGCTGGCATCATTTTGATGGTCAGCATGAGTTTAGAATGGGCAGAAATGTGGAGCTGTGCAGAAAAAGTTACTCAAGGAAGGCTTTTTCACACTCGCCCTCCTTCAAGGGAACTTTTTCTGTATATTAGGGTTAGGGATGTGGACCAGGGTAGGGTTTGGGTTAGAAAAACAAGGTGTCCTGGCAGAAGTTTGATGGTCAAAATGTGTTTAGAACATGTAGAAATGATGAGCTGTGCAGAAAAATCTACTCAAGTCAGGCTTTTTCAAAAGCACCCTTTTTGCAATGGTATTTCACCCCTATATTTGGGTTAGGGGTGTGCACCAGGGTAGGGTTAGGGTTAGAAAAATGAGGTGTCCTGGCATGATTTTGATGGTTTGAATGTGTTTAGAATGGGTAGCAACAGTGAGCTTTGCAGGGAAAGCTACTCAAGGAAGGCTTTTTCAAAATCGCCCTCCTTTTAATGGAACTTTCGTCCTATATTAGGGTTAGGGGATTGCACCAGCATAGGGGTAGCGCAGTGGTGGTGAACCTATGTTATGCATGCCACAGCAGGCATGCAGAGCCCTCTCAGTCAGCGCCCAAGCCAAGTCACCCCAGCATTGCGCCAGCAGCCGAGCATCAGGTAACATCGCTCACTGGGGCCAAGTGCATGCTCAAAAAGAAGTAGACCCGCCAAGCAAAAGCTCAGATGAGTCTCAGCTAATGCATCACGGGTTGAGGAGCAGTGCAGAAAAAGCTACTCTAGGAAGGCTTTTTCAAAAGCACATTATTTTCAATGGACCCATACCCCTGGATAAGGGTTAGGGGTATGCACCAAGGTAGGGTTAGGGTTAGAAAAACGAGGTGTCCCAGCATGACTTTGATAGTTTGAATGTGCTTAGAGTGTGCAGAAATTATGAGCAGTGCAGAAAAATCTACTCAAGGAAGTCTTTTTCAAAATCACCCCTTCCAATGGTATTTCACCCCTATACTAGGGTTAGGGGTGTGCACCAGGGTAGGCTTAGGGTTAGGGTTATCAATCGCTCACTTGACCGGCCAAGCGAAATCTCAGATGAGTCTCAGCTAATGCGTCACGGGTTGTGATGTCATTGCCTGGCTCTGCTACTACTTTTTGAGCTTTTTATACACACATACACGCACACACACATATATATATTATATTTCTTGGACTGGCTGTGAGTTGTTTTTTCTAAACTAAAACCTCAGTTTTCAGGTTCTGTTGCAGTGTTGGCACTTTGCGATAAATAAGTTGGTTTTGGGTGCAGTTTGGGCACTCAGTCTCTAAAATCTTCCCCGTCACTGATATAGTCCATCTGATGTGTGATCATGCCTTGCTCTGCTGTAGGTCAACCCCATAGTAATGCTCAAACTTGGCGGGGCGCGAAGAAGCCCCACAGTGATCGTAATTCCCATATGATCAAGGTTCAGGAAATGAGACCATTGTGATAGACCCACTCTGGGTCCTCAGAGCTGCAGCTGTGCCTAAGTGTATTCTTTTCGGAACCTACACCGCTTCTCACTGTCCACTTGCAGAAAAATGGAGAGAGAAAAATGGACATGGCTGTTGAAGAGATGACTGTCTTTTGTTGCTGAGATGCTACGGGAAATGTAGAGAAATGGGAACTCAATTTTCGTAACTTTTTGACGATTAAATTGTACTAAAGGCTCTTTTGGAGAAGTAAGCTTGGCGAGTCATTTACCATCACACTACTTGAATTTTAATCCTGTTTTTTTAATCCCACCTATACTCCCCTTTGTCCTGACTGTCTATTTGTATGTCTGTTAAATATGGGTATAGGATATGTGCTGGCATGAAAGATTATATGATTATAATTATACCCCCATAATTGTGAACAGCTCAGAGCTTTAGTTATTGGGCAGAACAGAAATCTAATAACTAAATATATAACATAACGCATACATAACAATAAAGTTTAGAATGCATTGATATGTGGGAGTGGGTGAGTTAAAGCATTCTCTTTTTTATGTTGTAATGGAAGAAGCTTCATAAAAATCAAAAAGTAAAAATATATTTTGAAAATTACACATTTTTTCTGTAATATTCAGTTTTCTTATTGATTGATGCATTGCCGTTTCTGTTTAGTACTTCAAATGTGAGAGGAATAATTTGATAAGTTAGATCAGGGTGTGCATAAACCTCTGACTTGGCAGCTTGCATGCATCCGAGGCCCGGAGCAAGGTGTGGCTGAAATGACCTTCACTGCCACGGTATCCTATGCCCCTCTGGGCAATGTCAGGATTCCATGAGATTGTGTCCTAAATCCATGAGCTGAATTCTTAAATTAGACATTATGTACAATCAATAGACTGTTCCACTTACCATTGCCCTTAACTACGCAACTGTGTTGTTTTGCCTGGTCTTCTGGAACACCATAAATTTCTACTACAACTAGGGGATCGGCTTTATTAGACCTTGAGAGACTGCTAGGTGGTAACTGATTGCCACTGATGAGCTGCACAAATAAACCCAGAAGTGTTAGCCAAAATAGACATGATTATTAGTTTGACATCAATGTTTTGCTGAAGCATGGTCAGGAAAGTCTATTGCGGGTATAGGGTCCACTCCTAGAATGCAGCCCTCACAGTTTATTAAGTGGATCCTGATCCAGAGGTAGAGGAAGGGCTGGAAATAAAATGCCAAGGCCAATAGACCCAGAGATAAGCCAAGCTGTCGCTAAAAACCAGTTTCAGTTTTGAAGGGAAATTCTTGTGAGTACGCGGAGATGAGCAGGATATACTTAATTTCATTCCCCAAATCTAACAGCACCAAGTTGAAAAGGTGGACCAATTAAGAAGCATCAAGATTTCCAGACAATTGGCTCATACACAGCAGGATCCACCCTGAAGGTAGAGTCATCTCTGTTTGGGATGGAAGGGAGGAATGGTATTCACTCTGGCATCATTAAGCCACATTTTCCTAATGGCCAGTATTCTAACTTAGCTTGTGTCTTTTGTGATGGATTTCTGCAATGCTCTTCTTTTGTGTTACAAAGCCAGCCTAGGTGGTCTGCTTTGACATAATAAAGAGCTGTATTCAAAAGCCTTTGTCCTGAACTGCTTAGAATGTGGGACGGAAGACCAGTCCATGGCACCTATCATACAATTTAAAAAAGTCATCTGAGAACCATTTCCCCTGAACTATGAAGTGGAAAACTCAGTGCCTTTCACCCAGTATTTTAGGAGGAAGACCTATGGCCTGCGTACGATGCTTGAGAGGCCGGAATATATCTCAGATTCCCAACTATGGTATCAGACAGCACTCAGAGCTGGAAATTGGGACTCCAGCTCTCCTCCAGTTCACCCCTAGTGTGGAAAGAATAGTGCCAGGTGCTTCCCTGAAGCCAGGAGCACAGCCTTGGGGCAAGTAAAGAGGGACTTCTGGACAGCTCTTAAGGGGATTTGAAAAATTCAGGGAGAAGGAGGGCCTATCAGGCTAATCCTGCCTTCCAGAACAGAGGCCACATGCCTGTGTTATGCAGCTGTGGAAGACCATAAGCAGGAGGTAATGTTCAATCTAGTCCTGTTTAACATAGACGGGTGGTTGGCTAACATGTGAACAGCATGCTGGACTAGATGGACCCCTCCGCCTGATCCTACAAGGCTCTTCCGGTGTTCTTATGTTCTAAAATTCTCAAGGGTTAGTGTTTATTGATTTTTGTTTTTATCTCCTATTGCTGCATTAGGTAAATCAGGAGTTAAAGATCACACCAGAGAGATAGCCATCATGTATGTGAAAATTACTGTTTATTAAAAGCACAGAATAAAAAGAAACAAATGTTTCAGTCTTTTGGCAGCAAATAGGGTAGAATAAACGCTTCTTGCATACAATTTTAATTTAATTGGTATGATAAAACTAGCTCACTGTCACATGTTTGCAAACATAGAGCAAACTGTGCATTGTATAACCAGACAAGAAACTGCAACCATGCTATTTAATAAACTGTCAGATGCCTTTGATGACTAAATAGCATTTGTAGGAAGCTAGTCTCAACATCTGTGGTATTCAAGATATTTTTTCCAAACAGCAAGCAGAGGAAAGTGCATGGAAATATTGCAGTTAATAAATCAAGGAGGTTTGATTTACTGACGAGAACTAAAAGATCTAATTCCTGGGGGTTTTGCACACAAATAATATTTATAGGTTATAGCTGAAGAATAAGCTAGTTGATCTCAGCATAAAGGAAACAATAACCAATATCGGGGGAAAGCCAACCTGTCCCTGATAAAGTCTGATACAGCCAACCATGTCACTGAACAAAATGCAGACTCTCTTAACTGGCCATAGCTCCACAGATCAAGCAATAGCTTCTGAGGCTGAGAGAATCCCAGTATGAGGACAGTAGCAGCTGTAACTTAGGAGCATCTTTACAACACTTGTATCCCATGCCTTCCTCCACCAAAAGCAATTAACTTCATTGCCTAACTAGGGGATCACTCAGAATTTGTATATCCAAATCCAGTCCTCAAGCGACTGTGGTTCTCCAGGGTGTGCCACTGAGGGTCGTGGAGCACCACCTCCACTGTGTAGTAGGAGCCTTATAAAATCAAAAGGAAGCAATGGAAAGAAAGCTAGAGCTGCTGGGAGGGTCAAGGCCCTTGTGAGATGTAGCAAGCCAGCAGGTTGGAAGCCTGACCAAGCAGCCGCTTGGACCCATGAGCGTGGCCAAACAAGGATGCTTTAACCCGGATTCCTGCTTTGAGCAGGGGCTGGACCCAATGGCCTCAGTGGCCCCTTCCAGCTCACAGAATGTCCTAGGATTCTGTGAGTCAAAGGAGGAACTAGAATAGATTCTGCGACTGATTCCAGGACCAAACCTTGGGACTAAACATCTTGGAAGCCCTCCGAGACTGGCAATGTAGGTAGGAGAAGCACAGTGCACTTTATTCCTGAGGACATGATGATGCAATGACAGGATTTAAATGGCTAAACTTGGGGTTGACACACAGTGTTCTGTTCTAACATAGCAGTTTTAAAATACGGAGCTCCAATTGTGTTTGAGTGTTGGGGGAAATGTTAGCTGTGTGCATACACATGGCCATTTGTGCTGCGGGAACATACGATCCAGTGTCCAAACGTAAGTCTAGGATCTAAAAAATGCCTTATTTACTTATTCAACACTTCTTATATATTGCCTAATTATTATAAAATCTCAAGACAGTTTTCATAAAAACACAAAAATATAAATATATATTAAAACCATTATTACAACAATAAAATAGTTTAAAATTCCTAAGTGCCCATACCTGCTGCAACTAATTAAAATATGTTGTTGATTACAAACTAGGAGCATAAAAATGTTTTGGCCTGGGACCGAAATGAATAAAGTGTCGGCACCAGGTAAAGCCCTCTAGGAGAAAGTCCCATAATTGCACCTGCGACCCCAGGCAGGAATCGGCAAACATACAGTTTGTGATACGAGAAAGGACATTGACCTATTCCACAACGAAATCCACATATAAATGGTGTCATAAAACAGTCTGGAAAGTTGCTTTAGAAATTTCACAGACAAGCTTACTCACTGGGTCAGTCAGTCAGTCAGTTTATTAGTGAATATGATGGCACTTATCATATTCACATGCTGCCTTTTCAAATAATTGAAAAATGGTTACACCGATAAAACAAGAATCAACAGCCAATAAAACAGAAAGAACAAAATACAGCAGGGAGTCGGTCGAATCAAATGCCACCAGACATTGAAAATATATGTACTACCGCCTCACAACCAGCTAATCTGGCTCAGGTCCTCTCCGAACTCATTAACAGGCAAAAAGGTAAGAAACAGCTGGTCCTAGTTCAGTGCCATTGGACGGCAGCGAGGTATGTGAATTATTGCTGCACTTCATAAGGGCACATTTCTGACTGTGAACTGAATGATGTTTACAACTCAGAATGCTCCTCACAGCTCTCATGCATCTTCATAAATCTACCTAAAAGAGATGGCAACTCTATATATGGAGACCCTGCCAGGATAACTGATACCCAGGTGCTATCAAACACAAGTTACTGGAAGTGCTTGTCATAGACTGGGGCCACAAACGCTGCAAAGGAACTGGCAACAAATGTTTGGAAAAAGCATGTGTTCTGGCACATTTGATAAGAAAATATTGCCAACAAAATAGACTGACCTTTATTGTAAGCACAACTGGATGATGGTTTGCAGTTATGGCATATGGAGTAAATTCTGTGTCTCGATTTCTAAGGCATTCTGGTTTTAGTATATAACCAGAACAACCGTTCTCCAAAAACTTTCCAGTTTGAAGATCCATTTGCACCCCAGCTGTTTGGAAATTTAAGGCCACTGTATGAAAAAGAATATATGCAGTCATAAAAATAGGCAGTAGAAATAGAATATACACACATATGCACATACAAATGATAGATTTGCGTTATCCAGCCTAGAAACTGATATATATCTTGAGGCTTTAATATGAGTTACATAAGTAGATGTGGCTATTAACATGCTTTCTTACATGGCTCTCCACTTTAAATCATAAAAAGTATAGATAAATCAACCAATCTCCAACATGAGGATTCAGTCAACACAAAAACCCACACTCAAGGGTTTAGGATAAAATTGACCTTGAACCAAGGGGTTGATGTTTCAAAATATTTTCAAAATAAAAAAAGACCTTTTTATTTAAGCAACATTTTAAATGCTAATACAACTGAATTTTATCTGGCCAGGGTGGCTTATTTTATAATGTGTGTTTTAAATTATGATCATTTTATATGGATATTTTAACTTATTGTTTTATCTAGTGTTGTAAGCCGCCCCGAGGCTTCGGCGAATGGGGCGGCATAAAAATGTTTTAATAAATAATAAATAAATAATAAATGGGTTGTTGTGTTGTCTGAACCCAGGGGCATTAATCATGGTTTGCTAACCACTAGTAACCCATGAAGAGAACCTATGTGTTGTGAGTTGAGTTCCTCTCCTCACACATTCAAAGCCAGGGACCTTTCTTGCAAAATGTTCTTTATTGAACAAAGCATTTTCCAGAAGCACAAACACCAAGAGTGAACCTCTGAGCACACACAAAATGGTTCTTTTAACCCAATCTAATATTCACATCCAGGAACTCTCCGTATGAGCATGCCTGAGCCCCATCCATTTGGGAGGGACCTTCTGAAAATGAACATGCCTCATCTTTGCACAAAGATCCTCTAATTGGGCCACCTCCCTCTGCTAACACTGAATCATGGGGTGAAGAGCTGGGGCTGCTTGGCTTTTGTCTGAGAAAACCCCCTGCTCTGGATCCCCTACCACCAGCTGTATAGCTTGGTTATTCCCCAGGGACTGTCTGTCTTGAGATAAGCATCTCTGCTTCTCTCATCTGAACATCTGGAATTGACCCACGTTCCAAGCCCCCCCCCCCCCGCCATTCGTCTCCTTCCTCCTCCTCTGAAGTCCAGCCAGCAGGTCTTGAGTATGTGGGCCCACAGCAGCGATCTTGCTCAGTCCCGACACAATGGTTTGTTGTTAGCTTAGAACAACAAAGCATGGCTTTTCTTTGTGGGTTGTTTGTGGGCGAAACATCATGGTTTGCTAGCATGACTGGATTCAGACAACCTATATTTCAGCAGAAACCCACACTCAGCCCTTGTGTCTAAGCTATTGTGTTGGTGAACCTAGTCGGTGGAGAAAATCAGTAGGACATCAAGAGGATCAGACTGGAAATAGACTATTGTAGTGTTGCTGTTTTTTCTTACTCAGAATTAAAGGCACTTTGAAGGAGGAACATGTGTTCACCGTGTGTTCTCATCCTATAATTGCTTTTTATAAACAGGATTTGCAAGTTTTTGTTTTGTTTAAAAAAGCCAAGAAATATAAAACCTGGCTGAGCAGAAGTGACCATGAAATGAAGGAAATATATATGTACACGATGGAAAGGAAACCCCTTTGAATTCCTTGATAAACTATTCCTCGTCTCTCACCATTCCTATGAGTCAATAATGCTGTACTAGTTCCATGTTACTGAGCTGGGTGCACCAACTCCAATATTAATATATTTCATGTGCTAAAATGGTAAGATCTTTATGAATGTGTTGTTTTCAGTCAAATGAAGGCACTAAGTTAACAGCTGTATGCCACTGAATTATCCAGCTTTCAAATTTCTCCGTGGGTTTTGGGGTTCCAGTTTGGGTGAAGACCAGCCAGAAATGGAACCCAGACACTCCAAAGCCCAAGGGAGCTCTGTGAGTTCATAGTAGTCATGGGAAAACCTGCTTAGGGATCCTAAATGTCTTCCAGCATTGTAAGAAATTCCCATGCTTCCCAAGAACTGTGAGCTCTCAATGGCCTGTGGGAGGCTGTGCAGAAAGGACGGTACCTGTTCAATTGTTCTCTGTCTGGTACCTGCTCAGACAAGGGTGAACACTATGACAAGGTAGTGGGACAGCCAGCATGCAGACTGGAGATTTCCCGTGAACCTCTATGCCATAATATGTACTGTTAAGATTCATACAAAAATGCCTATTCATAGTTAATTTGAGCTGCATTGGTTATTGTATTATGTGCAATCTCTAATAAATTCAAATTATTAATTAATTATGAAACAAAACCGACAGCTTCTACCTACCTCAGTCACTGTTAAGTAGGGAAAGAAAAAATTGATCTACACTTCCAATTTAATCACAAATGCTAAAACCCAATTATAGAAGTCATTTTGCTAAAAGTGTGCTTGAGGGTTTATGCAAGCTATGTGCATATGCACCATTCTGTTCTGTAAACATTATGAATTGCCATGCAAACCCTCCATGCAGTTTAATCATAAAGTACTAGTCTTTATCCTGAACACAAAACTGTCATAATTTCTTTTTCTCAGAACGCTTCCGTTGTTTGCTGCTGCAGTTTTGGAAATGAAACAACACACTGCCTAGACCAGGACACTGTAATTCATGGGAAAAGACAGCATCATAATTACTGGTATGAAGTGTAAAATCTTCTCTCATCTAGGACTGTGGTGCTCGTAGCATGGAAAATTCACCAGTCAACCCAGTAAAACACAAACATGTCATGTATAAAATAGAACGAGCACTTTAAAAAGTAAATGTATTTGATGGGTTGCCAGAAGAAAATGTAGACCTAAAGAGGTACACGTTACACTTAACAGTAATTCAGAAGAGGCTGCATTCTCTGCTCCTGTGAGATAAATGCAGGTCAACTCACTGAACATTCAGTCAACTTCCTTTTTAGAACCGAAGGAGAAATGTGTAAGTTTAGCTTCTTAGTTTGTTACGGAAAAACAATTTTTTCTTTTACTTGCTTATTTGAGTACTGAATTTTGAACTGCTATTCTTTACACACTGATCTCGAACTGGAGTCAGGACTAAGGTGGTTTGCATCAGTGCAATGCAACCATTTTTTTCTTTGATTAGAAGCTTTTTAAAAAGAGAAAAAGACAGAGAATGGCTTCCTGCATCTTTAATAATGGAGAGATTTCAGGAGGTGCATGGCAATTTAATCTTAATTTAATCTATACAGATATGAAAAGTGTGGGACACCTATTGGTGAGGTACAGTTAACACTTAACATTTAGCAACAAAGAATTGCCAAGAGCTGAGCTTGCTGAGGTTTGCCAAGTTACATCCCGCAAGTTGGTCCATCTTCTCCCATTCCAAGTCATGAGTTTGCCAAGCCCATTCAAACAAGGGAAGTATGCATTTGGGTCTGCATTTCTGAATCATCTACCCCAATGTATACATTCTTCCACTGAGTAAAACATGAAATTGCACGTTATTCTAAAGCACATATTTTATAAAAGAGCATCACAAGCTTAGGAATGCTGACATTTTGCCCCCCCCTCCCCCCAGTTGCACTCTTGCTTGCATTTCAGCTGTGGACAGAGTAAGTTCTGGTCTGAAATTAATGGAGAGCCAATTCCCATAAATGCCTGCAAATATCCCCATTGCTATATTGTGGACCAATTCAATTTTCTGAACCTTCGTCAAAGGAAGCCTCGTATAGAGTGGTTGTAGAAGAAGAAGTGAATAAAGTGTGTGTCATAGTGACCAGGTGCAATTTTGTAAGGAACTGACACAGTTGTTGTAGCAGCTTAATTTGCTACAGGTGCCAGTGAAGGATCTCGGTGCAATGGCAAGTTCAAGAACACCCCCTCATTTCAAACCTGGTCCTTTAATGGGGGTACTACCCCATCCAAATCTGGCTGAATTCCTGTTCTAGAGCCCATCTTTCTCCTCTTGCAGTACCTTATCTGCATTCTATGGAGTACATCTCAATTTATTAACCTTTGTCCAACACATTAATGCCTCAGAAAGCCATTTGGATTATCAACAGCTTACTTCGTGTTAGAAGAAAAGGAGAAAGAGAATTGCCTGTCAGAATCCGCTACAGATCCCTAAATGATCTGTCCTAAGATTTCATGTGGATATTGAATAATGCAGGGAACAGAATCAGTCCCTAGGAGATGCCATGAACCAGTGGCCAAGGTTCCAAACAGCACTTCCCAATAACAGCTTCTGAAAGTGACCGATAGGGCAGGGCTGGAATGGCCATAAAACAGTTCCTCCCAAATTCATCCTCACTAGGCTGTCCTGAAGAACAGCATGGCCAATAGTATCAAGCACTGTTTCAGAGTCCCCCAAAATCAACAGGAATCATACTTCCCCTGTATCAGTCTCAGTGAAGCTCTTCAACCACAATCACCAGAGCTGTTTGGAGTGACTGAAACGGATCTGGAGAATGCGGTGCATCCAAGAACCCCTGGAGTTCCCTTTGTACATCCAGTTTTCAGTAATGCATACTGTACTTAATGCAGAGTTGTATTTAATGATTTGCAGGGCAAACACAGTTGACCAGGAATTGCATGCACATGAATGAACAACTGGCAAGAAAAGACTGAGCATGTCTTCCTGTTTCACAGAGGTTTTAACCTCTTAGTTTTTTTTTAACCCAGATGGATAACTTTTGTGGATTAGCTGAAGAATCAGCTCAACAACCCTAGCTAAATTAGTTCAACACTCTAGCACTATCCTAGCATTTCCTGATGCAGACTGGAAGTCAGTATGGAAGTATACTAGGCACTAGCACATGAAATGCTACCAAAAATTTAGCCATGCCTCTGTGTGCAAGAACCTAAAAGGGTTTGGGTTGGGATACCAAGATTCTTTTAAATGTGTTTACGTTGTTCTAGAATTTCCAGTACCATTTGCAATAGATAAAAGATTCAGGCCCTTCAAGAGACTGCTGTGTGATCAAACGTGACCAAATATGGCCGGTCACTCCACATGCTCCAGGAACAATTCCCTATACCCAGTGCCACAGAGTGATAAGAGGAA